CTGGGCAACAACAGGCACCTCATATAACCCAGTACCTACTCTTCACCGCTGGGCAACAACAGGCACCTCATATAACCCAGTACTTACTCTTCACCACTGGGCAACAACAGGCACCTCAAATGTAACCTGTCTAAAACCGATGTCCCCAAAACCCCCTCTTCCCATGGTCTTCCACCTGGAGTCAGCCGTCATACTCTTCCGCTTCTATTCCACATTCAATAAGGAAAAATATGTTGGCTCTACCTCCAAAGCAGAGCTAGAATCTGACCACTTCTCTCCACCTCATTCCTGCGACCTCTGACCCAGGCCACCATGCCTCACCTCCACCCTGGAGCAGGCTCAGTGGTCTCCATCTCTGTCCTCTCAGTTCAGTCTCACAAGGCAACACGAGCACCTCAGTAACGTACGCCAAGTCAGATCCTGTCCCTGCTCTCACAAAGCCTCCCAGGGCTCCCATCTCACGTGGCTGAGTTAGAGACCAGCCCCTGTAGAGGCAACAAGGCCCCAAGACCTGCGCCCACCGCTCGGTCCTCATTCCTGCTGCTCCAGTTCAGTTACTGACCGCACTGACCAACTTCTGGTGTTTGCTCAAAGACCTCTTTAGTGAGGTTTTCCCCAACTGCCTCCTTCAAATGGCAGGCCCGCCCTGGGCTTTCCTCACCCCTTTCCCTGACTTACTGTTCTCCACGGCACTGACCACCTCCAAACACACTCCAGCTTCCTTATTCAGAGCTTTTGCTACTATCCCAAGAACGTAAGCTTTATAAAGGCAGGGATTTTTATCTGGGTGTCCACTGATGAAGTCCCAGGGAGTAGAAGAGTACCTGCACATGGTAGGTCCTCAATAAAGGTTTGCTGAGTCAATGAACACACATATAAACTTCAGAAATACTGAACTTGTCTTTGGTCAGCAAATTCAAAATCCCTTACAAACTTCATAAGCTTAAGAGTCATTTCCTTTTACATCTTCCCTTAACTTAAAATCCTAGAACTTTAAAACTTACCACAGCATAAGAGAAGAGAAAAATGGTGTCCAGCGTTCCCAGGAAGAGCGTGGCCTCCTCCGCACTGGGAAACAGATGGTTGCTGCTCCAGATCTGCAGAGACAAGGCAGTGACACGTCAAGACCGGCACCTCGCCAAGCACTTCTCAGACAACCTGGCCCATCCTCACAAAAACCTGGTGTGTTAAAGCGGGCAAAGCGGTACTGTGCACATGCACAAAGGTTAAATGATGTGTCCAAGATTCTAGCTCAAAGTGTGAAAAACTAGGTGGGAGCTGGGGGAGACAGACAGCAATAAAATGGGACGAGCAATGAAAAAAACGTAACTGTCCGTCTCAGAAAATAGTGGGTTTCTTCCCCCTGGAAGTATTAAAGCAGAGCTGGATGGTCATCTTTCAATAACAACCAAGGAAGGGTTCCACACTGGCAAGAGGCTAGGGTATATGACCTCTCTGAGGCTACTTTGAGCTTTAAGATTGGTGATTTTAATTTTGAATTGGTGAACGTTCTGCTGTTTATATCTTCAACAATAAAATAATAATTTTTTAAAAAATTTTGTGATTCTAAACAGTCTAACGAATCAGCTGACCAACAATTTAGACATATTCGCTGTGTTGTTGTCACTGTTAGTTGCTGTTGATTCCGACTCATGGCGACCCCATGTGTGCAAAGTAGAACTGCTCCATAGGGTGTTCAAAGCCATGACCTTTCAGAAGCAGATCACCAGGCCCATCTTCCCAGGCACCTCCGGGTGGGTTTGAACCACCAACCTTTTGGTTTGTAGTTGAGCGCTTAACCATTTGTGCCACTCTGATCAAGAGACTCAGTCTGAAATCTAGGCCTCTTTTCAAGTTCCTAATCACTTAGACTCCAGAAAACTGTACAGGGGCACTCCCACTAGACTGTAAGCTCCACAAGCCATGAGGACAAGCTCCGTTTTTAATCCTCTATGCTTTTTTTTTTTTTTTGGTATCCTCTATGCCTAGGACAGTGTTTATACAAGGTAGACACTCAATGAGTAACTGACTAACTTATTTACATAAATCATATAACCTTCAAATTTCTCAGCTCTAAACTGATCCAAATAGGGGAAATAACTTTTAATAAAATATGCTAACAATATTAACAGCTCTCCATAGTGCTACATAAGCAGAAATCACATCAGGTGGAAATGACTGACTGGAATGGATCTATGTCTTAAGATGCTGTTGTTGCTGTTGTCGTAGGCACCATCAAGTCGGCGCTGACTCACAGTGACACGACCCTGTGTCTAACAGAACAAAACGCTGCCCGGTCCTGCACCATCCTGTATTAAGATGGGGCATCGTAAAGGACAGCATCTCCGTCCTAAACTGTCATCAGAGAATTCACTCGGTCCATAATAAATATAAGGAACGGGGATACATACTCCCTGACTTCAAGGAGCTGAAGCAAGATATTAACAAATACACCAATTAGAAACTATTTAACCCCTGAGATGTTAAACTATAAAATACACTGTGCAGATGTTCAGAGAAGGGAAAAGTCATTAGAGCTGGAAAAAAACCTGATTGAAGAAGTGGCCTTTTATCCTGACACAAAGGGAAAGGCAGGACTTAGACAGGTGGAGAGACAGCAAAAAAGCAGACAAGAGCGTTAGCGGAATCTCCACGGCAGAAACAAGCATGGTACTGGTGAAACTCAATGGAAAGCTGAGCCTCGCTGGGACTAAGGGTGTGGTGGGATTTCTCAGCAGTGGGAAATGAGCCGGCTGGCCAGGCAGCAAGGGCCTGAGTCCCAGCATGCTTTGGAGCCAGATGGAGAGTGTAAATTTGACGCCAGGGGAAACAGTAAGCTATTTCAGTGTCCTGAGCAGGTGAGGATACAAAAAAGTACTCACAAGGCCTCAGGGGTGGGCAGGGGCTCCTTCCTAAATCCACCCACGCACTTGGTTCTGCTTACCTCCGTAGGCAGCTCGGCAGATGTGTTGAAAGCAGTTGGGGTCCACTGCTTAGAAATACTGACTTTGACATTGCTAAATGTTTTCCTGGAAGCATGGAGCAACGAATAACTATAAAAGACAGAGAAGAAATACAGAAGAATGGAAAGCAAAAAAAATGGCATCCAGTAAAGTCACAGAACTGTATCTGTTTTATTCAGTTTTAGAATGCTTTTTAAAAGGCGGGAGGGGCTGCTTCATAAGATCAACTGAGATAGTCTCTGCTAAAGAAAATGAAAAAAATAACTAGTCGTCTCCATCACGAGCCCAACGTCACTCGTAACTCGTCCTGGGAATAGTAGGTGGGGGCGTAACTGACCCCGCCCCACTTCAATCACTTAGGGTCTTTATCAACCACTGACCACCCACAAGAGTTATGGCGTTAGCCATTCAGTAGCTTTTTCCTTGGATCCTTGTCTTTTCCTCACATTGATGCCTCCCCCCTTCCCTCTCCGCGCAAACGAATATCCCCTAAACCAAGCATCCAAAATTACAACGCTAACATAATTAGAGAACCTTTTTCCTAGTTTCTGCCTAAAATAAAATCATTAGCATCATTTGTGGTTCCTTCAATAAAGATTCATAATAAAATCTACTCAGAAGAAACCATCAAAGTAGCTGATTCACAGAATCACAGGTAAGGCGTGGTGATTAAGAGCTCGGCTGCTAACCAGAAGGTGGGCAGTTCAAATCCACCAGCTGCTCCCTACGGTTCTACTCTGTCCTATCGGGTCGCTATAAGTGGGAATCGGCTTGACGGCAAGGGGTTTGGTGTTTTGTTTTTCACCCCAAACGGCCCACTTAGGGTTCCAGACTCACCAGCATGGACGATTTCGTCAGTCACGCTGGCCGGTCGGGGCCACCAACACTCACCCGGCTCTCGCACTAGTTCACAGAGTTCCTGACGCTGCCTCATAGCAGCGCCCGCTCAAAGGAGCACAGGGCACTCCCTGAGGGTGCGCGTCCTCTGTTCTCGAGCTCCTGACTTTAACAACTAGAGGGCTTTGTATTAGATCAGGGCTTCCCAATCCCAGCACTACTGACCTTTTGGGCCAAATTATTCTTTTTTGTGGGGGCTGTCCTGTGCACTGTAGGACATTTAGCAGCATCCCTGGTCTCTACCCACTAGATGCCGGCAGCATCCCACGCCACAGTGTGACAACCAAAAATGTCTCCAGACATTGTCACGTGTCCTCTGGGGGACGAAAGAGCCCCTCGTTGAGAACTACAGTATCACATGGACCAAAAAGCACAATCACAGGAAGAACTAGGCTATTCCACCGTGAGCCCCCGCCCGTCACTACGCTAGACACTTGCCATCCACTGTCACCTTCAAAAGGAAAAACAGAACAGAAAGCTAGAGAGCACTTTCAGCAGCTGGTTACCTGAAGAAGGTGAGCAGGAACACGACGACGTGGTGGTGGCTGAACCGGGAGACGAGGCCGCCTCTCCCAGCGCTGGCTGGCCAGGCCATCTTCCTCCTGGCCTTCCTTCTCAGCTCTGACGTCTATGTCTCCAG